TGATTTCCTTCTCTTATTACTAGAATTTCCTTCTCATTAGGTAGGAAACCTTGCTTACCTCTGTGGTTGGTATGGGGATTCCTGGGCCTGGCATCCACATGAGGTCTTCTCTGCTCCATGTCTGAGTCACCCAAATTCTTCCAAGTTACTTTCTGTTATCTGGAAAACTACACATGTTGAATTATCAGTGTCCTTGAAGCACAGCATCTAGCAGGAAAAACCCAAACTCCATCAAGCCAGTCCTTCTGCCTTTGTTGACATACTTTGTTAACTATGGGTTAAATGCAGATTTTAATCTGGAGCACAAGTGCTCAACTCTGTGAATGATCAATTATGATGTAAAATATTAAATTCACAATTTACCTGATTTCAAGAGATCGAATTCCCCTTTCTTTTACCCTTGCACTTTCTTGGGGCAGAGGAAATGTCATCAGTTCCCATTCAAAACTGCTGTTTGGTTTACGCCTTTAGCCAAGTTACTTAATCAGTTGCTAGGTTTCATTTTCCTCTCCTAAGAGGAAGACAAATATTGTTGCCAGGGAAAAAGGTTTTGCCAAGGTTTTGTTAATCCAAAACCATGTACTCACCACCCTATCTGGCATTTATATACTATATCTGCCACGTATATAGTACACAATAGGTTGCAGTATCCTATAGTTTATAAATAATTAGTGAGCAGTTATCCCCTTATCCTACTTTTTGGAATGGAGCCAAATGATTAAGCTCCCCGCTCTGCTCTACTGAATCAAGAGAAAGAAATTACATGTTTCAATAATCAGGAGGCTTGGCAACTATGAGGTGCTATTTCCTCAGGACTAGCTAGAAATTTGCAATTCTTTCTTCCTCTTCATTCTTCTACCTTGTTGATTTTTGACACTGGTCCTACAAGAGGAAGAGGAAGCCCCTTTAAGGGAACTTCTCAACCCAACTCATACACATTGTGTGGGCTGGGGCTCAGGAAACAGTGGGTGACTCAGAGTCCTCAGGAAAGGGATTTTTGAGACTGTCCTTACTGAGTTTTAAAATATTCATACTTGGAAACTGTGACTACATTTAGCATTATATGACGGGCAGCTTTTATTCTCATCAGAAAAAGGAGTCCCTTTTCTTCCTCCTGGGAATATTTCTCACGAGTCCCTTCCCTCATTTTATCAAACCCAGCCCTCCTGGCGCAAGCTCAATGTTTAGAATTTGTTTGTTTATTTTTAATTCTCTGAGGGGAAAATTCCTTCTTCCTCTTGTTGAAAAATATTAAAATAGAAACCCCAGAAAATTTAAAAGAAAAGAAAGGAGAAAAAGAAATGTTAGAAAAGAAAAGGCAAGGAAAGGAAGGGAGGAGCGGACAGGAACAGGAAATGCTGGGATCAAAAACAGACTGAAATGTTTTTTTGGGGGTAATCAAGGCCTAAAGGACAAGAAAAAAATCGGTGATGGTTAAGATGGCCTGGGGTCAGAATGAGAGGGGCTGGTCATCACCAGGGTGGGACGCAGGAGGCTGAGGCCGGAGGCAGGGCTGGGTTTGGGGGAAGTCTCCAGGGTCCTGGAGGAGTCTCTGACCCAGGGGGCCCACTTTCCCCGATGGAAATATGACGGGGTCAGGGAGCGCCAAGGCTGTGAGGTGGTGGGGTTATGGGGGCCTCCCAGAGAGGGTGGCAGCGAGCAGCTGGCGGTGCTGAGTGGGGTGCCAAGGTGCTCTGTAGAAGAGGGGGATGGATAAGGTGACAGGAGATGAGGCGAGAAGGCTGAGGGGGGGTACGAGTGGCAAAAGGGAGGGCACAGTTAAGGGAGGGGGCAGAGGAGATAGAGGTGGTGAGGGCAGAGGTGGTGATGGCTTCGGGGGGTGCTGGGGGGAGCGACGGGCCAGCTTAGGGGATGGGGACGCTAAAGAGAGTACAGGGAGCCGAGGGGGCGACAGGGTGCTGAGAAGGGCCAGAGACTGAGTGGGTGATGGAAATCTGGGGTTGGGGGTCTGAGGGGGCGATAAGGCGCTGAGTGGCGCTCTGAGTGGGTGATGGGGGCGCTGGGGGCTAAGGAGGTGACAAGGCTCTGAGTGATGGGGGTCGGAGGTTGAGGGGGCGACAGGATGCTGAGGGGCCAGGGGCCACTCTGCGCGGGTGACGGGGGCGCTGTGGGCTTGAGAGGGTGACGGGGCTTCTGGGCAGAGGCAGTGGCAGGGGGCGCGGCGGGGCAGGGCAGGGACAGTTGCGGGGCCACTCACCCAGCTCCGGCGCGTCCACTCACTGCTGCCGGCGAGTGCTGGGGCTTCGGCCCAGGCAGGTCGGTGGCCCCGCCCGGCGCCGCGCACTTTCGGTTTCCGTTCCCCGCAGACCCTGGGCGGAGCCGGGCGGGCAGCCCAGAGGGGAAGGAGGAGGCGGGAGCCCAGGGTAGCGAGCGCGAGGGCCTGGCCCAGACATGGCCGGCGCCCCCGCCCTCGAGGCGGGCGTCACCTCAGCTACCCCCGAAGGCGGGGCAGGAGGGCTCAGGCGGGCGCGGCTGAGGTGAGCGGACCATGGGAGGCGGGTTGACTGCGCCCAAGGTCTTTGCAGGCCTCGGCGGGCCCCGGAGGAAGGGAGACCGGGCGAGGGATTTAATGAATGTTACGCGCGACATGGCGGCGAAGCACAAGAACCCAGGCGCCCCAGCGTTTACAGGGAAGAGGGCGGGGCTAGACGCGGCCTTGATAACTACTAGAACGCCTCGGGCTGTGCGGCTCGAGACTACATTTCCCAGGGGTCCCGGCGCAGAGCGGGCTGGAAAGAGAGCGCCTCCGGTCCAGTGCGCAGGTGCAGGAGCCGTATCTGGCTATATAAAGGAGGTTCAGGCGTCCCTCGTTCTTTTGCGTCTGCGGTGCTACCAGAGCAGGGGTTCTGTGGGTTGCAGCCACGCTTCATACACCATCGTCTTGCTCGTGTGGGTTCCCGTTTTGTGTGTGGTGAGTGGGAATTCCATGTTCTTAGTCCGAAACTTCTGGTCCTTCTTTTCATTCTTTGTGCTGTCGCTTCTGCAGCCGACCCTGGTCTCCCTCGTGGCTCCTCCGGCTCTGACCCCAAATAGGCCTTAAGGGTGTGGCAGAGGCCGGGCACGGTGGCTCACGCCTGTAATCCCAACACTTTGGGAGGCCGAGGCGGGCGGATCAGGGGTCAGGAGTTCGAGACCAACCTGGGAAACATGGTTAAACCTAGTTTCTACTAAAAATAGAAAAAAAAAATTGGTGGCAGTCACCTTTAATCCCAGCTACTCGGGAAGATAAAGCAGGAGACTCGCTTGAACCCGGGAGGCGGTGGTTGCAGTGAGCCGAGACTGCCATTACACTCCAGCCTGGGCGACAGAGCGAGACTCTTAAATTAAAAAAGAAAAAAATTTGGTGAAGTCTTTCCTGCAGAGTTCCCATTT